TGTTAAAACAGCCTAAAGTCTAGAGCAGTATTTATGCCCTGGAAATCTTTTCACTCAAATTCTGACTCCCACTAAAGTAAACTAACAAATACTAGCAACAGAGAGTGGAAAAAATGAGTTAATCTTCATTTATAGAAAATCTAATTCCATCATGAGGCCATATTCAAAGTAGCACACTATTTGCTAGCCACAGACAAAATACTTAACGAGGAAATAAATAGCTCCTGGCTATTGGTAGCAGTCCCTATCAAGGAAGAATTTGTTAGCCCCAAATGCCAATACTATACCAATTTAGAAAGTTTTGGGCATTGGGAGCAAAGAAGAAAGGACAGGGATTATCATTTTTATTTCCTTGAAACTGGAAGTCGTGTCTCTTATTAATTAAACAAATTCTTTCAACAGGATTATGAATTTCTGTATGAAGTTGGTGTTTCCAATGTATTTGGTCCTGGGACTCGAATTCCAAAGGCTGCTGTTCAAGTGCTTGATGATATTGAGAAGTGTTTGGAAAAGAAGCAGCAATCTATGTAACATCCTGTTTTTGTCTTAGCATTTTTCTAAAATATTATTTTAGTTACGATTAAAGATGAGGGTAAAGCTGTGTCTTCAATTTAATTCCAACACCAGATAGGTACTTTTTTGAACACTATACATTAAAATACCTTACTTATAAGGATATTGTTATGCTGTAAGTATGTGTGCAGTTTCACTTTAAAAAAAAAAAAAAAAGAATTGTTCCTAAAAACTCTCCATAACAATACTTTATCAGAAACTTCTAGACAAAGGTATTTAAAAAAATCATGGTGAAATATCGTTAGAAATATTTCTTATAAATCTATTTACTTTCTATTTTAAAATTAAACATTACCTAAAAAAACCTGACTAGCTTCATTCCTCAATTTAGTATTACATCGACTTAAGCACCAGAAAATAAGATCCACATATCAATAAAATAATGACATCTATCTTGGAAAAAATAGTGGAGAGTATTTATGTGGGGAAATAGATTGTAGTTGTGGTCTTCAGCCAAACTCTACCAGAATCACTCCAATAAAAGTGTATTAAATCAAACACAGCAGGTTGAAATAGGGGGGAAAGGGCAGAATATTTCCTCAAGTCTGATTTTACTTTCTTCCTTAGTATGAACAAATGACCTTGTTATTGCTGGGCTTGGCTCAAGACCCAGGAGAGTGGATGTTTATGAACATTCCCTTAAATGAAAGTGCTTAGGTTGTTAATATGGCATCCTCCAGAATAGTGATGTCAGCTGTGAGTGTAGGTCTATGATAAAGAATTGAGGTTTTCAGATCCAGAAAGGTACTAAATTACATAAATTTGCTCATTCAAGATTAGTTGCAAAAATAAAAATAGCACAAAAAACACCTGCACTTTGCTTACTAAAAGATTTGCTCATTAAAGAAGGAAACTTGTTTTTTATTGTCGACATAATTTACTAAATGAACATAAAATAATTGATTTTTTTGTAATGAATTTTTATTGTATTTTGTTAGGTTAGAGAACAATCTTTTAGAAAGTGTTATATGTTGCTATAGAATTTACAAATTACACTGTAACGCAACTTTAATTTTCAGAACATTACTATTAGAATGGTATTGTCATGATTATTTTTCCCATCTTACAGATGAGCAACGTGACTTCCAATCCAGTGATATATTCACTGTGCCATTTTATTGATTTTTCCTTATAAAAAAAAGTGTATTAATTCAGTAAGTATTTGGTTTCTGTGATGTGTTCAATTGCGCGCTGGGTGATGTGTGAAATGAACTCATCTTTGAGGAATTTACAATTCTTAACATTCAGTGTCTTTTGAGTAGATCATTTTGCAAAGAAGAATAGCAGCTACCTGCTACCAAATTTTACATCCATTATGTATCTTTTACCTGAACCCAGAAGTACTGGCTCACTGTCTGAAAACCTGTTTCCTGAAATATTCATTGGCATGACTCATAGGAATTAAATTTGGCCTTAATTTAAGATTAAATTTTATCTTTATTATTATATCTAGAAAATGTCAAAACTTAAATACTTAAGTGGTATTTATATTCCAAAATATTACAAAGAAATTTTACTTTATGTCTAACTTTTATTACTGTCCTCATTTTTTGGATGAAAACTTCTGTGCCCACTAAGGGACAGACTTTTGGAAATGGTCAGGAACATGACCAAGTATAAAATGGAAGTACATACATGTTTTATACAGATAAGCTATCCCATATTCACCAAATAGCGTTATAGAATATTAATGGATCGGGAAGAAATTTCTTTCTCATTTCTTTGTGATGAGAGCACCTGAAATCAAAATAGAAGATTCCAGTGATAATTATGAAGCACAATCAAAATATACTGCAGATAGAAATTTAACTTACTAAGATATATGTTGTTTCACAGTTTACCATCCTCATCAACCTAATAAAACATTGAGATCACATATCTTAATCACAGTTATTTCATCCTTGACAAGATTAGTTTTATAATGCATGATGCCAGTGAGGGCAAGATTGTGTGTTTATATATGATTTGTTATGAGGAATTGGCTGACACAATTCTGGAGGCTAGCTAAACCTCCTGAAATCTACACAGCAAACAGGGAAAATCACGAGCAGGCTGGAACCCCACAGGTACAAGCCAAAGCTTGTTCTCCACAGGCAGACAGGAAGATAGGATGAAGGGAGAACAATTGTAGATAAAGCTGCTGTTTGGAGTGTCTGGACTCAGGAAAGACTCAAGCCGCCTTCTTAAGGGCTTTTATCTGATTAAAAGTCAGATGGCCCACTCAGGATAATACCTTTTGATTAAAATCAACTGATTGAGGACTTCAAAACATCTGCAAAATCCCTTCCCAGCATCATCTAGAGATTAGTGTTTAATTGAGTAAATGGGAGAATGTGTGTGGGAGCTACAAAATGTTATCTCCTTTCCATCCTTCAACTCTCACAAGAGAATATCCTTTGTACCCCACCCTAACTGGTCATATATTAGAAAGAGAATTTTGGAGACTATTGTTCAGTCTAGCTAAATTGACGCATTACAAAGCCATCATATCTTTTCACTTTATGATTAGGCAACTGAGGCAGAGAAAGGAAGAAGATTTAGCCAAAGTGACATATTAGTATTGAGAGCATGTCTCGAGACTGGGTCTGCTGACTCTAAGGCTCAACAATTTTCATATTCATGCAAAGAAAAGCACATTCATAAGATTCATACCTACCCATATTTGCTATTCCATCATTCAGTGGAATGTCTGCAAATCTAGAGACAGTAGATATACAGTTGCTAATAGAAAATTTAAAGAAGAATCAATTCTGTATTGATTCAAATATTTACATCAAAGGTATCTGGGGATCTACTTTCTCAAAACCAGTCTTAAAAATATTATTCTCAGAGTTCTTGGCTAATTTAGCACCACTTTTAAGGTATGAGTCTTCTGAGAATGTTTTAATGCCATGTGTATTATGAAGTCTCTTCATTCTGTGCTGTAGATTAGATGTCCCCTCCCGACCCCCCGAGTCTTAATCCCCACTGTAACTGTTGAGAGTGGGAAATCCTATTATGGTCATTGAAAAGTTGGACCTTGAAGGTGATTAGATTGGAGGGACCATGCCATAGTGAATGGATTAATAATGGTGGTCAGGGGTGTTGTTCTGAAGGCTTTAAAAGGGGAGCGTGAAGAGTCTGTCTCTCTGCTTTGCTGTTTTCTGCCATGTGAGACCCCCAAGTCACTGTTGCCACCAAGAAGGCCTTCACCAAATGTGTTCCTTGGACTTTAGACTTCCCATCCTCCGAAACTATAAGCAATAAATTTTGTTTTCTTTATAAATTACCCAGTTTCAGAAACTTATGTCATAAGCAACAGAAATAGACTAATACACTCTGTCTGGGGGGAAAGTGAAATATTTCTTGCCTTGTGTAAATACTGAGAATTGTTTGGCCTGATGCTATTTGGTGTTTTTTTCCTTGGTCTTGTGGAATTTCACAATATGCATGCATAGATCAGTCCTCAGCCAAAGACTGCAAATTCTCAGTTCTTTTTATCTGTGCACCATCTCCCTCTCTGGGATTTTGCCTTGCAAATTCTAGCTGCCATGACCCCCTCAACTCTGATCTCAGTCTCCTCAATTCAGTGAGACTGCCATGTTCTACTTTGATTTTATTCCCTGAACTGTGGTTTGGAAACTGCCTTCATGCAGCAAACTAGGTCAATCAACAAATGGTGTTGGAAAAACTAGATATCCACATGCCAGAAAACAAAGTTGGACCCTTACTTTATACCATATGTAAAAATTAACCCAAACTTGTTAAAGGTCTAAATGAAAGAGTTAAGACCATATAACTCTTAGAAGAAAACATAGGGGAAAGGCTTCATGACATTGAATTTAGCAATGATTTCTTGCATATGACACCAAAACACAGGCAACAAAAGAAAAATAGATAATTTGGCTTCACCAAATTAAAAAGTTTTGTACATTGAAATACATAATCAACAGAGTGGAAAGGCAGTTCACACAATGGGAGAATATATTCACAAATCACATATCTGATAAAGTATTGATATCCAGAACATATAAGAAACTCTTACAACTCAATAAAAACAGAAAACAAGTAACCCAATTAATAAATGGGCAAAAAGCTTGAAGAGACATTTCTCCAAATAAGTTAAACAGATGGCCAATAAGCCCTTGAAAAGATGATCAACATCACTGGTCATTAGGTAAATGCCAATCAAAACCATAATGAAATACCACACCCATTAGAATGACTATTATCAAAAAACCAAAAAAGGACCAAGTGTTGGAGAGAATGTGAAGAAACTGGAACCTGGTTCACTGCTGGTAGAAATATGCAATGATGGAGCCGACCCTGTGGCTCACTCGGGAGAGTGTGGCGCTGCTAGTGCCTAGGCCGTGGGTTCGGATCTTATATAGGGATGGCCGGTGTGCTCACTGGCTGAGCGTGGTGCAGACAGTGATCCCCTTACCAATCAAAAAAAAAAAGAAAGAAATATGCAATGATGCAGCTGCAGCAGAGAAGAGTGGTGATTCTTCAAAGAAATTAAATATAGAATGACATATGTTCCATCAATTCTACATCTGAGTATATAACCCAAACAATTAAAAGCAGAGACTCAAACAGATATTTGTATACCATTTGTTATGGACTGAATATTTTTTATCTCCCTCAAATTCATATTTTGAAACCCTACCCCCCAATGTGGTGATATCTGGAGGTGAGGCTTTTGGGAGATGATTAGGTTTGGATGAGGCCCTGAGGGTGGGGTCTTTATGGTGAAATTAATGCCCTTATAAGAACAGACCAGAGAGCTTGCTCTCTCTTTTTCCCTGTCATGTGAGGATACAGTAAGAAGGCAGACATCTTCAAGAGAGCCCTTGCGAGGATCAGCACCCTGATCTTCAACCTCCCGGTCTCCAGAACTGTGAGAAATAGTTGTCTGTTGTTTAAATCACCCAGTCTTTGGTAGTTTGTTATAGCAGCCTGAGCAGACTAAGATACAAATGTTCATAGAAGCATTATTAATACAAATGTTCATAGCAGCATTATTAAAAGCCAGAAGTTGGAAGAGTTATTAATAATAGCTAGAAGTTGACAGATGAATGGATTAAAAAAAATGTAATATATGCATACTATGGAATATTACTCAGCCTTAAAAAGGAAGGAAGTTTTGACACATTTTATAATATGGATATGTGTCATTGAAGACATGCTCAGTGAAATAAGTCACAAAAAAACAAATATTATATTCCAGTTTTATGAGATTCCTAATGTAATCAAATCCATAGGGACAGAAAATAGGGTTTCCAAGGGTTAAGGAAGGGGGAATGGAGAATTACTGTTTAATGTTTACAGAGTTTCAGTTGGGGAGGATGAAAAAGTTCTGTAGATGAATGGTGGTGGTGATTGTACCACAATGTGAAAGAACTTAAATCCACAGAACTGTACCCATAAAAATGGGTAATATGATCAATTTTATGTTATAACACAAAAAATACATTTAAGACAATATCTAGCATATGACACAGGCTTTATAAGTGTTGTTATTGTATTGCTATTATTCCTATTATTATTATTTTAATAAAATAAATGAATAGTAAGGCACGAAATGAGTAGAGTATCCTGAAGGTCATAGCAAGCATATTAGGGTTTGAACCAGGGAAGTAATCTCATATTTTGGCACAGCAGCTGTGTGGATGCCTTTTAATGGGGGCAAGAATTAGGTATTTTCTGTGTGGGATCTGCTATGCCCCCTCACCTGTTTTGGTTCTTCTGTGGACCTCTTTTAAAGTACAGTGATTTCATGACTGAATATACTGGTATAATGTCAAAATTAAGAAAAGGTAAATTATGGGATTTTTCCCTATTGATATACTTGTCAGTACTAGAGCTTTCTAAGTTTTTCTGGCTTCGGAAGCACACTAGAATAATGTCTTTAGGGAGAACTGAAAACATCAAAATCTTTTCTCTTCAACATAACAGAAATTTAAGTATTATATAAATAATTTAATGCCAGTATAGAAAGTGGAGGAGAGATTTGGAGAGGCATTCTTTCTGAAAAAAACCTTAATGGAAGCAGGAGATATAAAGTAATAGGAAAGAAAAGAAAACTGAATGATTACTCCTTCCTTCAATTTNGTCAGCTGTGAGTGTAGGTCTATGATAAAGAATTGAGGTTTTCAGATCCAGAAAGGTACTACATTACATAAATTTGCTCATTAAAGATTAGTTGCAAAAATAAAAATAGCACAAAAAACACCTGCACTTTGCTTACTAAAAGATTTGCTCATTAAAGAAGGAAAGTTGTTTTTTATTGTTGACATAATTTACTAAATGAACATAAAATAATTGATTTTTTTGTAATGAATTTTTATTGTATTTTGTTAGGTTAGAGAACAATCTTTTAGAAAGTATTATATGTTGCTATAGAATTTACAAATTACACTGTAACACAACTTTAATTTTCAGAACATTACTATTAGAATGGTATTGTCATGATTATTGTTCCCATCTTACAGATGAGCAACGTGACTTCCAATCCAGTGATATATTCACTCTGCCATTTTATTGATTTTTCCTTATAAAAAAATGTGTATTAATTCAGTAAGTATTTGGTTTCTGTGATGTGTTCAATTGCGCGCTGGGTGATGTGTGAAATGAACTCATCTTTGAGGAATTTACAATTCTTAACGTTCAGTGTCTTTTGAGTAGACCATTTTGCAAAGAAGAATAGCAGCTACCTGCTACCAAATTTTACATCCATTATGTATCTTTTACCTAAACCCAGAAGTACTGGCTCACTGTCTGAAAACCTGTTTCCTGAAATATTCATTGGCATGACTCATAGGAATTAAATTTGGCCTTACTTTAAGATTAAGTTTTCTCTTATATTATTATATCTAGAAAATGGCAAAACTTAAATACTTAAGTGGTATTTATATTCCAAAATATTATAAAGAAATTTTACTTTATGTCTAACTTTTATTACTGTCCTCATTTTTTGGATGAAAACTTCTGTGCCTACTAAGGGACAGACTTTTGGAAATGGTCAGGAACATGACTAAGTATAAAATGGAAGTACATACATGTTTTATACAGATAAGCTATCCCATATTCACCAAATATTGTTATAGAATATTAATGGATCAGGAAGAAATTTCTTTCTCATTTCTTTGTGATGAGAGCACCTGAAATCAAAATAGAAGATTCCAGTGATAATTATGAAGCACAATCAAAATATACTGCAGACAGAAATTTAACTTACTAAGATATATGTTGTTTCATAGTTTACCATCCTCATCAACCTTGAGATCACATATCTTAATCACAGTTATTTCATCCTTGACAAGATTAGTTTTATAATGCATGATGCCAGTGAGGGCAAGATTGTGTGTTTATATATGATTTGTTATGAGGAATTGGCTGACACAATTCTGGAGGCTAGCTAAACCTCCTGAAATCTACACAGCAAACAGGGAAAATCACGAGCAGGCTGGAACCCCACAGGTACAAGCCGAAGCTTGTTCTCCACAGGAAGATAGGATGAAGGGAGAGCAATTGTAGATACAGCTGCTGTTTGGAGTGTCTGGACTCAGGAAAGGCTCAAGCCGCCTTCTTAAGGGCTTTTATCTGATTAAAAGTCAGATGGCCCACTCAGGATAATACCTTTTGATTAAAATCAACTGATTGAGGACTTCAAAACATCTGCAAAATCCCTTCCCAGCATCATCTAGAGATTAGTGTTTAATTGAGTAAATGGGAGAATGTGTGTGGGAGCTACAAAATGTTATCTCCTTTCCATCCTTCAACTCTCACAAGAGAATATCCTTTGTACCCCACCCTAACTGGTCATATATTAGAAAGAGAATTTTGGAGACTATTGTTCAGTCTAGCTAAATTGACGCATTACAAAGCCATCATATCTTTTCACTTTATGATTAGGCAACTGAGGCAGAGAAAGGAAGAAGATTTAGCCAAAGTGACATATTAGTATTGAGAGCATGTCTCGAGACTGGGTCTGCTGACTCTAAGGCTCAACAATTTTCATATTCATGCAAAGAAAAGCACATTCATAAGATTCATACCTACCCATATTTGCTATTCCATCATTCAGTGGAATGTCTGCAAATCTAGAGACAGTAGATATACAGTTGCTAATAGAAAATTTAAAGAAGAATCAATTCTGTATTGATTCAAATATTTACATCAAAGGTATCTGGGGATCTACTTTCTCAAAACCAGTCTTAAAAATATTATTCTCAGAGTTCTTGGCTAATTTAGCACCACTTTTAAGGTATGAGTCTTCTGAGAATTTTTTAATGCCATGTGTATTATGAAGTCTCTTCATTCTGTGCTGTAGATTAGATGTCCCCTCCCCACCCCCCGAGTCTTAATCCCCACTGTAACTGTTGAGAGTGGGAAATCCTATTATGGTCATTGAAAAGTTGGACCTTGAAGGTGATTAGATTGGAGGACCATGCCATAGTGAATGGATTAATAATGGCGGTCAGGGGTGTTGTTCTGAAGGCTTTAAAAGGGGAGGGTGAAGAGTCTGTCTCTCTGCTTTGCTGTTTTCTGCCATGTGAGACCCCCAAGTCACTGTTGCCACCAAGAAGGCCTTCACCAAATGTGTTCCTTGGACTTTAGACTTCCCATCCTCTGAAACTATAAGCAATAAATTTTGTTTTCTTTATAAATTACCCAGTTTCAGAAACTTATGTCATAAGCAACAGAAATGGACTAATACACTCTGTCTGGGGGGAAAGTGAAATATTTCTTGCCTTGTGTAAATACTGAGAATTGTTTGGCCTGATGCTATTTGGCGTTTTTTTCCTTGGTCTTGTGGAATTTCACAATATGCATGCATAGATCAGTCCTCAGCCAAAGACTGCAAATTCTCAGTTCTTTTTATCTGTGCACCATCTCCCTCTCTGGGATTTTGCCTTGCAAATTCTAGCTGCCATGACCTCCTCAATTCTGATCTCAGTCTCCTCAATTCAGTGAGACTGCCATGTTCTACTTTGATTTTATTCCCTGAACTGTGGTTTGGAAACTGCCTTCATGCAGCAAACTAGGTCAATCAACAAATGGTGTTGGAAAAACTAGATATCCACATGCCAGAAAACAAAGTTGGACCCTTACTTTATACCATATGTAAAAATTAACCCAAACTTGTTAAAGGTCTAAATGAAAGAGTTAAGACCATATAACTCTTAGAAGAAAACATAGGGGAAAGGCTTCATGACATTGAATTTAGCAATGATTTCTTGCATATGACACCAAAACACAGGCAACAAAAGAAAAATAGATAATTTGGCTTCACCAAATTAAAAAGTTTTGTACATTGAAATACATAATCAACAGAGTGGAAAGGCAGTTCACACAATGGGAGAATATATTCACAAATCACATATCTGATAAAGTATTGATATCCAGAACATATAAGAAACTCTTACAACTCAATAAAAACAGAAAACAAGTAACCCAATTAATAAATGGGCAAAAAGCTTGAATAGACATTTCTCCAAACAAGTTAAACAGATGGCCAGTAAGCCCATGAAAAGATGATCAACATCACTGGTCATTAGGTAAATGCAAATCAAAACCATAATGAAATACCACACCCATTAGAATGACTATTATCAAAAAACCAAAGAAGAACCAAGTGTTGGAGAGAATATGAAGAAACTGGAACCTGGTTCACTGCTGGTAGAAATATGCAATGATGGGGCCGACCCTGTGGCTCACTCGGGAGAGTGTAGATATCCACATGCCAGAAAACAAAGTTGGACCCTTACTTTATACCATATGTAAAAATTAACCCAAACTTGTTAAAGGTCTAAATGAAAGAGTTAAGACCATATAACTCTTAGAAGAAAACATAGGGGAAAGGCTTCATGACATTGAATTTAGCAATGATTTCTTGCATATGACACCAAAACACAGGCAACAAAAGAAAAATAGATAATTTGGCTTCACCAAATTAAAAAGTTTTGTACATTGAAGTACATAATCAACAGAGTGGAAAGGCAGTTCACACAATGGGAGAATATATTCACAAATCACATATCTGATAAAGTATTGATATCCAGAACATATAAGAAACTCTTACAACTCAATAAAAACAGAAAACAAGTAACCCAATTAATAAATGGGCAAAAAGCTTGAATAGACATTTCTCCAAACAAGTTAAACAGATGGCCAGTAAGCCCATGAAAAGATGATCAACATCACTGGTCATTAGGTAAATGCAAATCAAAACCATAATGAAATACCACACCCATTAGAATGACTATTATCAAAAAACCAAAGAAGAACCAAGTGTTGGAGAGAATATGAAGAAACTGGAACCTGGTTCACTGCTGGTAGAAATATGCAATGATGGGGCCGACCCTGTGGCTCACTCGGGAGAGTGCGGCGCTGCTAGTGCCTAGGCCGCGGGTTCCGATCTTATATAGGGATGGCCGGTGTGCTCACTGGCTGAGCGTGGTGCAGACAGCACCAAGCAAAGGATTACGATCCCCTTACCGATCAAAAAAAAAAAAAAGAAAAAAAAAAAAAGAAAAAAGAAATATGCAATGATGCAGCTGCAGCAGAGAAGAGTGGTGATTCTTCAAAGAAATTAATTATAGAATGACATATGTTCCATCAATTCTACATCTGAGTATATAACCCAAACAATTAAAAGCAGAGACTCAAACAGATATTTGTATACCATTTGTTATGGACTGAATATTTTTTACTTCCCTCAAATTCATATTTTGAAACCCTACCCCCCAATGTGGTGATATCTGGAGGTGAGGCTTTTGGGAGATGATTAGGTTTGGATGAGGCCCTGAGGGTGGGGTCTTTATGGTGAAATTAATGCCCTTATAAGAACAGACCAGAGAGCTTGCTCTCTCTTTTTCCCTGTCATGTGAGGATACAGTAAGAAGGCAGACATCTTCAAGAGAGCCCTTGCGAGGATCAGCACCCTGATCTTCAACCTCCCGGTCTCCAGAACTGTGAGAAATAGTTGTCTGTTGTTTAAATCACCCAGTCTTTGGTAGTTTGTTATAGCAGCCTGAGCAGACTAAGATACAAATGTTCATAGAAGCATTATTAATACAAATGTTCATAGCAGCATTATTAAAAGCCAGAAGTTGGAAGAGTTATTAATAATAGCTAGAAGTTGACAGATGAATGGATTAAAAAAAATGTAATATATGCATACTATGGAATATTACTCAGCCTTAAAAAGGAAGGAAGTTTTGACACATTTTATAATATGGATATGTGTCATTGAAGACATGCTCAGTGAAATAAGTCACAAAAAAACAAATATTATATTCCAGTTTTATGAGATTCCTAATGTAATCAAATCCATAGGGACAGAAAATAGGGTTTCCAAGGGTTAAGGAAGGGGGAATGGAGAATTACTGTTTAATGTTTACAGAGTTTCAGTTGGGGAGGATGAAAAAGTTCTGTAGATGAATGGTGGTGGTGATTGTACCACAATGTGAAAGAACTTAAATCCACAGAACTGTACCCATAAAAATGGGTAATATGATC